GCCTGGGCTGCCTTGCCGGTGGTGGCCCTCTTCGGGCCCGCCTGGGCGGTTGCCGTCAACACGACAAGGATTGCTACACGAAGCCCTGCCATGACTCCTTGCATGGACGCTGGAGACAAACTGCGATTGCTGAAAGTTGCGCTGTTGGAAGCGTCGCTGATAGCTGCAGCTCGAGCCGATGGCTACGGATAGGACCATGAGTGTGTGTGCCGTCAGGCACCACAACCTTACGGCGTTAACGACGAGGGCCTTAGTTCCCTGCTCAAGCGCCCGACACAGGTTTCGTGACACCTTCTTTCCCAGAGTTTCCCAAAGCTCCGAGACCCTGCTCCTACTCCTGGCTCGAGCGGTCTCCACTGTCGTCTCGTCCTTCTGCATCGCCTTAGCACTCGCTCGGGATCCTGAGGCAACTACTGATGACGAGCAGGCCGTCTGAGCCCGCGGCACGATTCCTAGAACTCCGTGCTCTCGTACTCCGAATTGCTCTGGGACCACTCCGTCTGGTCGCCTGGGACCTGGGACGATGATGAGGACCGATGTGATGATGTACTTGCTGAGCTCGCCAGTCGCGTCCATGATGGGTGCTCTCTCGCCTGCTGACAGCTGGAAGGAAGTGGCCGCCAGGAAAGGATACTTCTCTAGCGCACTCGTCGGCGCCAAAAGAGAACCTGACACCGCGCATACGATATCTGCCATGCGGTGTCCCGAACTGAGCTTCTGTAAAGGAATGTCGCGCCTCAACTTGCTGGACGACAGCATATTCCTGGGCAGGTCGAGGGTGCGCCCCAGGAAGTCTAGCAAGTTGACGCTCAAAATATGCGGGACGTCCTCATTCAGGACAGTCGTCTCGACGATCCCGAGGACCCCGCCGAGGCACAGTGGATACAGCACGGTGCCGATCACTCGCGCCTCACCGCCGATGCCGTGTGCCTTCTTGGGCGCCTTGAACTCCCTCGGTACTGCGACGTAGCATAGCCCCTGCTTGGCCAGGGACTCGGCCTCGAGGTTGAGGGAAGGCAGGCCGTCGATGTCGCTGCCTGCTCCAGGGTCGACCAAGCCCTGCGTCACTGCCGCATTCAGGAAAACATCCGTGGCCCTGACCTCTGCCTGCACCCGCTGCAGAACCTGCAGCTCGTCGCGCGAGATCACCGGGTAGTTGTTGCAGCCGTCGAACGTGTAGCCCGCCAGGCCCCGGCTTGCTGAGGCCTCCTTCCGATCTCGCGGAGGGTGAGGACACTCGCGATGCCAGTGACCTTTCTCCTTGCAGTTGTGGCACTTCGTTATCTTCATGAGCTTCTTGCGGTGTGCATCTTCGGACCTTGCTCCTCGATCTCCTGGCTCGCGTCGTCCTCCGCTGCGACCTGGCCGAGCATCTCGACCCTTGCCGCGGCTGCGGCCCTTGCCGGCACCGCTGGGGGGACGAGCGCCAAAGTACTCGCGGTCCTGCTTAGCCGCCCGCTTCAAGTCCTTGTTCTGCTTCCAGGTGCGCTTGACCTGTCTCTCCATCTGCATGTATACCTCCTCGGCCTCGCCCTCAGAGATGTCTAGATCGTCGATCTCCGCCAAAATGGCTTGCGCGTCGCCCTCCGACAGGTCGTCGGAGTCGTCGTCTCCCTCCTCAGCATCTTCGTCGTAGTAGGAGTCGTCTCCGGCTTCGTCAGCCCCTGGGTTGGCCGTCGGGAACGACTGCTGAGGGTAGGACGAGGGAGGAGGGGAAAGAATCTGACCGCCCGCGTTGTCTCGGCCGACTTCTGCGGCGAGGACTGGATGCGAGCTTGTCCTACCCGGAAGTAGCTTCTCGCCGCTTCCGTAATCTAGCTGTCTCAGCGCCCACGATACTTGATCGTAGTCAAGGCTGCCGCGGGTGAGCGTCCTCAGGTTCTGCTGGCCCTGTGCTGACAAACCAGCACCTTCTTCCAGTAGAAAGCCCTTCAGCTTAGTAGACATCCAGATATCGTGGGTCTCGGCCTCGGCGAGCTGCTGGTCGCGCCTGATGACGAACTGCGTCAGCGTCTCCTTGGACTCTCGCGTGCACTCGATGAGTGCTCGCCTTCCTGCTCGCCTGAGGTCGTCTCCCTCACGCTCGCCCGCCATGGCGTCCATGCGGCGCAGGACCGCGTCCAGCCACTGCCCGCCGGTGATCACGTCGTCGCTGAGATCCTCGAACTTCGCCTGCATGGCCCAGTCGAACCCCTTCATCAGTTTCTCGTAGCGCCGCCAGACCTGGACATCCGTGCCCTGGTTCCAGCGCAAGATAGACTTCTTCCACAGTCTGTAGTGGGCCCAGCCGGGCCACGAGGGAGGATCGGAGAAGTCGCCCTTGGACCACTGGCTGGACGACCACTCCTGGCCTTGCCACTCCTGGCTGGGCCATCCCTGGTCGCGCGACCGCCATTCTCGCTGCTGCCAGCTCTGATCCTTCCACTGATCTGAGCCGTCCTTGTCGCGCTTCCAGGGATCCGTGTCCTCCCACGGGTCCTTCTCTTCTCGTTGTCTACACGATCTCGTATCCGTCGAGCCTGCTGTCTCGCCGATAGTGTCCCTCACTACCTCTCTGACCAGGTCGCGCAGCTGCGCGCGGAACTGGTCCCCCTGCTCGACAACAGGTCCTCCTGACCCAGCGGGCTGACCGGCAGCGGCCGCCGGAGCTGGCGGTGGCTGCTCGGTGCTGCCCATCGTCGCATAGACACCATCGTTGTTGTTGTCTGCCGGCATGCTCACGCCCGCCGTGGATCCACGCACTGCACGTCCTCGGAGGAGCGGCAGTCGCCTGGCCTCTCGAGCGGTCCCGACGCCACCGCCCTAGCGGCGCCTGGGTCCACCCCTGCCGGCCATGGCTGACCACCGCTCCGCTACCAACTGTGGCAGCAGCGAGATGAGCGGATGCTTTTGCCTTGAGCCAAATCGGCAAACAACAGTACTGCCTTCTCTAGCTGACCTCTGCGTCTGAAACAAACGAGTTCCCAAACTCGCTCTCATGACATGATCAACAGAAAAGATCATTAACCTAAACCTATAATGCCGAAATCAGGAAGCCTGTCACAGTGTGGCGCTTCAAACTACAAGCGGGAGCTTTCGATGTCGGCCATGGTCGTCGTCAACCCCCACGCCCGGCCCCCGCGAAACCAACGCCCATCAGCTTAAACGTTTCCTGCTTCAGCGAGCAGCGGGAAAAGACTGGTTGGCGCTCCTGCGAATCGGTGGTATGCAGCAAAAAGCTGCGTACCGCAGTTTGGAATTCCACCAATCCACAACACATTGGGTCGGCGGATGTGGCGTCAGCCTGTAGAATCTTCCATTTCTCCTTGGTCCGTGCCGCAGGTTGTCTGATATTGCATACCTGTCAACATGCGGTCGCATATGGTTTCGAGCTTGAGACGATTTGCACATCCATGTATTCGTCCAAGGCCTTCCAGCCTCGGTATGACTTTACGTGTGTTGGCATCCTCGCGCAGCGTCTGGTCTAAATTCGCACCTCTTGATGTCGAACTCCCAACGGTCGAGACTAACTCGCCGATTTGTGTGCTCATCCGAGAAATTCCTCACTCCATAATGAGTGGAATATTCATCATGTCTACGTGGCATTACTGTTGCCACACTCCACCAGAACAACAACCGAAACCACCTTCTAAACACTATCTTGGTGGCGTTCCGCGCCGATGCAGACAGGGTTGCACGTCGAAGCGAAATGACTCAAAGCCTCACTCACACAAGACGTGCTATAAACAAATCTGTAAGTGCAGTGGGCGGAATAGCTGCAAACCCCCTTGAACCCATGGGCTTGAACCAAAATGGCTACGGGGTGGGGTGCGGGGGGTGGGGAGTACGAGGGGGCGGGGGGAGGGAGGGGAGGGGGGGGAGGATGGATGGGGGGGGGATAGGGGGGGGGGGGAAAGAGGAGGGAGGGTGGAGGGGGAGGGGGGGGGGGGGGGGGGAGGAGGGAGGGGGAGGAGGGAGGAACAGAGGGAGGGCGGCAACGAGGGAGGTGAGAAGGAGAGGTGGAAGGGGAGGCGGGAGGAGGGGAGAGGATGAATGGGGGAATCAGCGCGATCTGAACGGTGTCCCTTCCGCGGCCGCTTCGCCTGAGAGGGGGAGGGGGGCGGGGGCGGGAGGGGGAGGAGGACTTGAGGCTCCCCTCGCTGGGATAGACAATAACGGCGGACAACTGTCGGGCGTTTTCGGCTTCTGCGTTCCTTGCTGGGCCCTGGGACCGTCAAAAGACGGCTCGGGATGAAAATCGCTTCTGGGGAGAAGGTGCAGACCACGGGGTGACCACGTTGCAAAACAAAAGACAACACGACGTCGGAGGTTTACGAAGAATGGGGGAAGGGGAGGAGAAGGGGGAGGGATGGAGAGATGGTAGAAGGAGATGGGAGGAATGGGGAGGGGAAAGAATGGGGAGAATGAGGGATTGGGCTTGGTCTTCCCGGCTAGGGGATGGAGACGTTCACCCAGGCGGGCATCTCCGTTGAACAGGGGGAAAAGGGGTGAGGATGGGAGGAGGCGGCCGAGGGATGGAGATGCCCGTCTAGATAGGCAGGCATCTTTCTCCGTTGCTCAAATAAGCGGGCAGGAAGAGAGGAGAGAGGCGGAAGGGATGGAGAGACGTAAAAGGCAGGGTGGGGTGGGGGGCGCAAGGGGCAGAGGGGGAGGGGGAGAAGGAGGGGGAGGGATGCAGAGAGGGAGGATGAGGTCGTTGAGTTCTCATCTTGAACGAGTAATCCCACTAGCCCTCGGGACGGAGGTGGTCTCGAGCGTTCCTTGTTCCAACCCCACTGTTCCCCTTCAGCGAGGGTTTATCATTTATTACTGCTCCTGATTAGGGCTACCCTCGTCCCCCGCTCGACTGGCCGCAAACCAGGAAGTGTGAACGCCCCACCCCACCATGTTCGCGCCGACCTTCGAACATTCACGCTCGTGCATTTTTCCTGCGTCGGCGGGAGGAAAGACGAGCCCGTGACACGTCGCGCGGCCTCCTGGACTCGGCGGGCCCGGGTCGCCTGGATCAGGAGCATGCGCCAGTCCTCCGAGCTGGCCGGGTCGTTCACCGTGCCCCCGGTGCTGAAGCTCTCCCAGGCCTGGCGGGGGGAAGGCAGGGTAGAGAAGGGGGCTTCATCGACTCCAGGGGGAGGGAAGGAGAGAAAGGGCTATTCTGATGATGATGATGATGATGATGATGATGCTGATGGTGATGGTGATGGTGGTGGTGATGATGATGCTGTTATTGGTGGTGGTGATGATGATGTTGATGATGATGATGATGACGACAGCATTGATGATGCAGATGCTGCTGCTGATGATGCTGCTGATATTGTTGTTGTTGTTGATGATGATGATGATGCATATAATGATACTGATGCTGCTGATGCTGAGGATGCTGATGCCGAAGATGATGCTGATGCTGCTGCTAACGATGATGCTGGTGATGAGGATGAGGATGAGGATGGGGATGCTGATTATGTTGTTGTTGATGATGGAGAGGGATGAGGATGAGGAGGAGAGGGATGAGGAGGAAGAGGAGGAGTAGGAGGAGCAGGCGCCCCCAGTGCGTTTCTTCAGGACACGGCACATACACAAAGCAGGAACGCGCAGCTGTGAAGCCTGCTTCTCCCCCAGACGAGTTCGAGGAATTTACTTAGAAAGGTCCATAACCTTGTCTGTCGCGGATGCTTTTTGGACGCTTTTGGCATGTGCTGGGTCTCCTGAGGCTTCTGGGGGCCTCCCGGGGTCTGGACCCAGGGCGGCACTCGAACTCACGGGCGGGTGCTGGGGGAGGTGCTGTCCACAGGGGGGCGGCGAGGGGGTAGGCAAGCAAGGCGAAGGAGCGGGACATGGAGGACTCGCACATTCGGTGGTTCAAAGATGGGAAGCGCCAGCGCCTTCGTGCCGCAAAGCGCTCGTGCCATCAGTCTGGCTCGCTCGACGACCGAATCGATCCAGCACCAATCCGACGCGCTCCCCCCCTGGACAGGGGAGGAAGATATGGGAGAGGAATTCTCCACCGCTGCCCCTCCTGGTCTTCCTTCCTCCCCTCCTCCCCACTCCGCCTCATCCTTCTGCAACCCCTTCCTCCCTCCTCCTTTTGCGAACCCCCTCTCCCTCCTCCTTCCCTTCTTCCCACCCTTCTCCCCCCTCCTCCTCCCCCCACCTCCTCCTTCTCCTCCTCTTCCTCCTCCTGCTCCTTCTCCTCTTTCTCCTCCTCCCTTCGCCTCCTCCTCCTCCTCTTCCGCCTCCCCCGCCTCCCTCTTCATCCTTTCTCCTCCTGCTCCATCCTCCTCCTCACGCGTCTCTCGTCCCTCCTTCTTCCCTGCTGCTTCCCGCTCCTCCTGCTCGCCACCACCCTCCCCGCACCGCGCACGTGTGCTGCACGTCTGCCTTCCGGTGCTCTCCCCTCGGAGGCGGGCCAATCGAGACAACGGCGGCTCTCCCGCCTGGCCCAGATCCGCTCGAGAGCGGCCCCTGGGCCCCTCCCAGGGTCCAGTCTGGCCCGTTGTCCGAGGTGGACCCGGCCGTGGCGACGAGAAGCCTCCAGGAGGCTCAACGGAGGGCGGGGAACGCCAGGGAGGGCCTCCGTGGTGTCGGCTGGCCCTCCTCCGGCAGGGCTGCCCGTCGGTCTTCGGTCCACGGCTCGGGCTTCAGGCGGCCGTTCGGGACGATCCGCCCCTCGACGAGGCGCAGCTGGAGGAGCAAACCTGGGGTCCGAAAGCCTCCAGGAACCGACGAGAACTCACGGAAAACCCGCTATGAGGGGCAGAGAATCATCGACCTGGAATCGGCGACACATCTCGGATAGGTCCCCGATAGCGAGCTTGCACGTTCACGGGCGGGGTTGGCTACGGGGCCCCGATCGATCAACGGGCGATCGGGGGTCGATGCATCTCCCCCCGAGCCATCCCGCCCTAACATTGTCCCAATCCTCCCCCCTCTCTGGGACGCCTGGTGATTTCGGGTTATAGCTCGGGCCTCAGGCGGCCGTCTGGGCACCCCCAGAAAGCTCTCGGCGAGGCACAGCTGCTGGAACGCACTCCGAGGCTGGAAGCCCGCCGAGAGCCTGCGATACCGCCCGCAGAGCTCAAACCTCGAACCCCCTGAGCCCGTCCCCCCCCCAACATTGCACCTGACAATCCCCCTCGTCGTCGTCGTCGTCGTCGTCGTCGTCGTCGTCGTCAACGTCATGGTCTTTGTCGTCGTCTTCGTCGTCGTCGTCTTCGTCGTCGCCGTCGTCGCCGTCGTCCCCCCCTTCCCCTTCCTTTTTCGCCTGCTCCCGACCCCAGCCCTGGGGCCTCCCAACCGCTCGGGGTGCAGAGCTCCAGGCTGAGCGTGCTCGGCCAGGGGCCGCCCGGCGCTGGCGCGGGCGCGGTGGCGGCGCCGCGGTGGATGACCTCCGGGGCGCGCCGGGTGGCCCTCGCCGCGGGCCGCGGGAGCGCGGCCGCCGCACTTTGGCAGCCCCCGGCGGTGGGGAGGAGGAGGAGGAGGAGGAGGAGGAGGAGGAGGAGGAGGAGGAGGAGGATGAAGCCGCGATCGCTCGATCCCGCCCCCTTTTTCCCCGCAGGGGGGCCCGAGGCGGCAGCCAGCGCGGCCATCGCAGGCCCCTTAGGCCCGCGATAACAATGCCAACTGTCATCGCGACCGACGCCAGCTGCGACAACTACCGCATTTACTGTTATGACATCAAAGGACCAGAGGTACCGGAGCCCCGCCTGGCACAGGAGGCTACGCCGACATCGTGCTGACGGCCGAGTACGACTTTGGCTCCGCAATGCACGACAGCTACTTCAGGCGCATCACAACTCGCAACAGTCACCGCGACATCCACATCAAGCTCCAACCATGGCGACATCATGGAGAGCAACCACGAGCGGATCGGGATCGGCACAAACACCGTGGAGATCAGCATCGGGCCGCCCACGATCCAGAGCTAGAGCTACAACACCGAGACCCACTACATCAACCATCGGTGCAAAACTCGCACGTTGAAAGAACCACAACTGGATTGACCAATTGGCCGACAATCACCCGGACAAGTCCTGGAACCAGAATCTCAACGGGAAAGGTATCTACCAGAACGGCAAGGGGAGGAACGACCACCAGGAACCCGTCAGAAACAACCAGAAGGGCAAGGGCAAGAACAACAAGGGAAAAATGCAATACCCAACCCGAAAAGGAAAAGGCGCCCAAGAAGAAGGACGACGGCCAGAACTACAACAACAACAGCTATAACGAGCACATCACCAACACGATCAACAACGCCATGCCCATGCGGACAATCTATGCCGTCAGGAGGCACGACTGGGAGCTACCCACCAACGAACACAAACTAAGGGAATAATGGAAGAAGATCAAACACGCTGAGGAGCGAAGAGCGGCAGCTGCCGTCGTCAAGAACAGCGCAGCAGGTTTACCTACCACCGACGCCGTCACACAGATCGCCTTCATCAAAGCGATGGTGCTCAACAGCATGCCCCTGGCCCAGCAGGCGAAGACGATCGACGACACCAAGAGGACCATGAAGGACTACTACGAGCACTCAAAGAACCACCAGCAACAGATAACGATCTACATTAACGAGATTGAGAACAACATCGAGGAGCTCACCACCCTCCAGCGCGACATTAGCAACGCCAGATATGGTCGACACAGTGACACAGAAACTGCAGATGACGAAGCAGATCAACCACAAAGGAGCATGCTACCAAGAAGATCGGTTACACCATCACCAGCCCCAAGGAGGCAAGCAGGGGCAGGTGAAGCCACAGACGGGCGGGACCTCGGCACCACGCTCGGGACTTTGAAGGAGGACAGCCAGCGTATGGCCAACGGCATCGAGAAAAAAACAACGCTGCAGCCAACGACGAGACCAACACTCTCAGAAGACACCTCCGAGCGACGAACTAAGCTGCACGCCGACATGAGAAGAACTGGCATCACGAGGCGACAAGGGCCGAGACTACCACAGCGAGCTTACTAAGGGGATGCAAGGCTCAAATCAGACCACATCAACATCAACGATGGCATCGTACCACGAGCACATGCAGACGATCAATGCGGAGAAGCCTAACAGGGCGGAGGAGGATATCGACGCCATGAGGAGATCGCCAGCAGAAATGGGACACCAGCCGCTGACAACAAGCGGCAGCCAACTACAGAGAGAGCTCCAAGACATGAAGGAGACACTTGCCGACACTAAACACATTCGGGACACCATGGGGCGGAATCTTCGAGACCCAAGAAGATTAACAGGATGACTGCAGAAATGCCACAACATGACCCTAGAAGCCGAGGACCACATCGCCAGCATCGGGCCAAAGCGGCAGAAGACAGGACCAAGGACCACAACGACACCACGATCCTGTATCAGAGGTGGGGCGATGCAGAGGAAAGGCACATCCAAGCGAAGCAGGAGTTACTGGTGCAACACTGGCGCATGGAGGCTGCTATCCACATTACCACCGAGGAGTGCCAGTATAGCCTTGCCAGCATCGAGCAGAACATGCGTAACAGGGACCTTGAAAACACCAGACAACAAGAAGAGTACCTGCAAAAGGTCATCACCGACATGCACAACTACAAACAGCAAGTGAACTACCATGCTCTACAAGCCGAAGGACAGGTTCAGCTCGCACTGCAGCGAGCTGAGATGGGCACACCAGAACAGCACGAAGCCTTCCAACGCGAAACACAAGCATACCGCCACAGGGAGACGCAGTGGAGACTTATCAAGGAAGCGCACGAGAGGAGGACGGAGGACGCTACATAGGAGTTACAGTACGCCAGACAGGCGGCTCTCTTTGCCTAGCAGCGCCTCCACAACGTCGAGATGGTCGACGCCATCAACCAGGCTCTCAGCATGCCGATCAGTATGTACGACGAGGACGTCACAGCCGCCACGACTACAGTGTTCCCAACCGTCCAGCCACTTGAGCATCCACTTGAGGATGGAGAAACATAGGATACCCAGACACAGTCCGACGAAATGCCGCGAGAAGATGAAGTACATGCAGTATTTGTATCACAACCAGGCGAACATCATCAGGGGCAGTGCCACACGTCCACTCCGCCAAGGACGCAGAGGAGCACGACTTCGCCACCAGGAGAATCCCAGCAGACCAACGAGATGGAATGGCCAACGCCGCCAGCTTGGACATCGGGATCCATGCCGCCAGGACAACCACGTCCGCCCTCCATCCACGCTCCAGAGATCACCATCATCGACACGCCATCACCTGTGAGGAAAAGGGAGGACGGCATCACCCCAACGGAGCAGATGACGCCACCAGCTGTAAGCCCCTACAGAACCCTCATTGGCACACCTGGGAGAAGATCATCGGCGCCACCATCTCGGAAGCACTCAGCGCCGACAACGCGGAGCGCAAGCGCACGAACAGTGACGAGGGCCACTATCGACCCCAACGAGCCCCACATTATTGTCACTGCGACCCCTGCGGCCAAGCCCCTCCCCGACAAAACTACGACGGACAAAGAAGCCGAAGTTGCCGGAGAATCAACGGACTCATACTGACGGCCACATAGCGGCGTTGGACCGCATAAAAGCGACGCCGCACATGGCGAATCTGGCGCACCATCACATGCCAACCTACCCAGACCGGCAAGACCCACCGCAACGGGACGACAGTGCCCTCAACCAACATGCGGACGAGGAAATTAAGACGGGCAGACCAACAGGCCCTAACCACCGACGGGGACCAGCCGTGGCGCCATTCCGACGGCATGCAAAGCCAACGGCACCCCACATTCAGGGCATCGGAGCGACGGACGACGTACTTAATGCACGACGGCCAACGCCACTGCCATTTTTAACAGTGCCACAGTGCACCACAGTACCAGTACAGCCCAGGGAAAAGAAACAACTGGGACTTAGCGACCGAGTGTTGAGACAGGATGTGGGAGACCGATATCAACATCGGCTACCCCATGACCTTTACCCTGCAGATGTGAAAGAAGGCGCCTGCAGCGGCAGAGGCAACACATCGCATGGCTACGCTGAAGGACCTGCCACCCAAGAGGTCAACAACAATATCCACGAACGACAGACGTCAGCCGACGAGCAACCCTGCTCCGTGCGAGAGGGCCAGCCATCGGGAGACCATATATTCCGATAAGCCCAGCGAATAAAAGCGGTGAAGGCCAACTTCGCAGTGACCGAGCCTACCGCCGACGTCCTCAGGCGCACCTCCACGCCCCACTTCGCCACCGACTTTCCCGACTTACATGAAGCAGAGTGGTTCAACCCAGCAGCCATCATGGCACTGGAACGTGCCCCACCCAGAACCCACGGAGTGATCAAGCGGATCCACCTGTACTCCGACGGCACTCACTAGTAACTATTATCGAAGATGACGATGGATTTGAATAGCTGAGCACCATGCCAGCCAAAGTCACAGACTCTGGGCGAACACCATAGGATCGACACGTATTGCCCAACCACGTACAGGTACGAGACCAGGCGACCCAATGTCCGACATTTCCTTCAACGTCGCCTTCGTGAGGATTACCAAGGCCATTTCCACTAACATGAGCGACCAGGGTATCCAGTACGACATCAACTACGACAACAACGAACGATCTACCTCTGCACATGAGCGCCAACCAAATGGAAATCATGACTCCGGATCGTCGCTCACGGACGCCTCCTCCGTGGACGACCTCGCAACATACGCCACCACAATCCCGCAGAACGCTACACAAACGGGGACCACCTTGCTCTGGATAGTGGAATCAAGGGTACGAGGACATATAATACGACTCAACATAAAACAATCACACAGATCACGTTGCTACTCTTCGGAGGTGGGTCAAGGACGATGAAGGAACACATGGCCAACGAGGGAGCGACATGCATACCGAGCACCTACAGCGACCAGACCGTCGAGCTCTTTGACTCCCAGACGGCACTTGGCGCAATTATTACTGCAACGGCGACCATGGGACTGGAAATCAAGAAAAGGATCAACACATTCATGATCAGCAGAGGCCCGCTACGGAAGCAGGTACTCAGAAGATATATCATACGAAACGATAAACAAGTCCTCTACAATGACTTCTTTGTGATATCTAGATTGAATAACAACGACCACGTATGGAGCAACCTCGCGGAGACAGAAGACAAGAACCACGCAGTGGAGTACATGAATGGATGCCGGCAAGCAACAGGTCACCACGCGACTCACATCAGCACCCCACAAGCATCCAACCTCAAGGTATTGGCGACCGCCAATCGATTGCCTCCGACAATGGTAAGACGCGCACGCAGACTACATTACTTATCGCTGACTCCTACTACGTGTGCCCACAATACTACTAAGGCTCATCGACCAGGACCTCCACCACGAGGCAAGCTGGCCACCGATATCAACGATTATATACA